AGCGCCGCCCGCGAGGCAGCGACTAGAGGAGCGGCCGGGGCCCGCGGGGCCGGAGGGCAGGGAGCAGGTAGGGCCGGCTGGGGTCGGAGAGGAGGGGTGGGGGCCTGAACGGCAGCGGAGGGGGAGGGGATGTTAGGCGGGAGGACGCGGAGTGCGGTGTTTGAGGGGTGGGGACTGGGTAGTTTGGGAGGGAGAGAGGGAGAGATACCGAGAGTCAGAAAAAACCCGAGTGCAGAAATGGAAGTGGTCGCCTGAGGTGGAAATGGGGGATAGGGAGATTAAAAGTGGTCCCAAGGGCGTTTGTAGTCCGGGCTCTTGGGTAGGAAGAAAGGGCGCTGGAATGTGAGTCGGGAGTGAAGGAGCTGCTCAGGGATTCCTGCGGAGTTATCTAGAGGCGTATGATAGGGTGGGAAAGTCCAGTAAACGTTATCCTGTTTCTTGGAGGCTGTCTTGGCAGTTAAGAAAATGGGCTATTTATTCCTAAGCATTCTCTGATTTGACCATAATTATGCTTTTGTAGGAGTGTGCTTAGAATCATAATTAAGGTTTTCCACAGTAACGTGAGAAAGCACCTTAAAATAATAGCTGCCAAGTGTTCAGCCCCAAAATCAGTACTCTGGCCAGAGAATTCATGAATCTAGACTGCCTTCTAGGTGTTTAGCATTGCAAACTCCTAGAAGTTTAGCATTGGTAGGAAAACGAATAGAAAGCAGTGTTAAAAATATTTATCAGATTACTGAATGAATAGGATGTTTTTATAGCATTACTTTAGAATAGGCGTATTTAGGAGTAGAGGATAAAGGTCAGTTTTATTACAGAAAAGCTTCCACTAGCAGGTCTAAGAAGTGGTGTGAATAGATACCTGGTTCTTGATCTTGTGGGATTTACTGACATGACCTGTAGAAATTAACGTTAGTGACAGTTTATCTTTTGCTCAGTTCTCCAGACCCTGGTGACTTTATATTTGAATCCGTTAGTGCATTTTATTGATCTCTTGCTTCTTCTAACTTAAATATTTCTTTCCCTTAGGCATCATTGTTAAGTAGTTTCAGTGATTCACATGTTAGTGTTTTGGATTCTTTTTTACCTCTTTTCTTTCATCTTTCTTTTTCTCCTGTTCCCTGTTCTGAGTAGACTGTACCACTGACTGACTCTGTCCTTGTTTTAATATTGTGGAGCTTTTTGCTGCTGTACTCTCCCTTCTTTATCTTGTCTTTTATATGCTGTGCAGTGTTGTTGATTGTGGAGTGGAGCACAACTCATAGCAACCCTATGAACAGAAGACCTGAAGCCTTTCTATAAATATTATCATTTCTCAAAGTTCATAGAGTTTCAAAATGTTAAAATGTATTTAAAACTGGAAGCCTTTTCATGTATCAATTTACTAACTTCAGTTGACTTTACTGTATGCTTCATTGAATAGTTGAATGTTACTTGATTTTCTCCTGTTCTCTTACATGCTGGTGTTAATCATCCTTAACTTCAGTTTTAAGAAAGAGGTATTCATCTCCCCCTTTGAGCCTTGTTTTTCCAAATGTCTTTAATTTTATTCCCTTTCATCAGCTGCTGCTGTTGTTAGCGGCCATGGAGAGTTATCCACCACCCGCCTCATGCTAACACCGTGCACCATGGAATGATGTGCTGCCGCTGTGATCATTTGTGAATAGGACTGTTGTATCATAGGATTTTCATTAGCTGAGATTGAGAAGGACATTATGGGGTTTTTCTAACTAGTCTGTCTTATTCTGAAACTTCATTTAAAACTAGTTTGGAATCAAGTTGCAATTGTTATTGTGTGTTGTCAAGTTGGACCCTCTAGCAGATTTTCAGAGGCTATAAATTGCACTTGAGGAAATTGTCCCGCTTTCTTCCAGAGCAGCTAGTTAATTTGAACTGCCTGCCTTTGAGTTGGCAACACAACTTCTTAACTCTCTGCTATAAGAACTCCTTTTTGGAATCATGTTGTTGGTAGGTGCTGTCAAGTCATGTGCAACCTATGAACAAAAAATCTGAACCTTGTTCTATCCTGCACCATCCTCACACTTCTTAACACACAAGAGCCCATTGTGACGGTCACTTTGTTAGTCCACCTGGTTGAGGGTCTTCCTCTCCTTTGCCTACCTTACACCCTTCCCAGCATCATGTCCCTTTCCAAGGAATAGCACCTTCTAGCAACATGCTCAAAGAATGTGAGGTAAAGCCTTATCATTTTTGCCTCCAAAGAGCACTTTGGCTTCACCCTCTCCAAGATATATATTCTTTTCACTGTCTGTGGGATATTCAGTGCTCTTCTCCAACACCACAGGTTAAAGGTGTCAATTATTTTTCTGTCATCCTTATTCATTGTCCAGCTTTCAGAAGCATGGCAAGTGATCGGAAGGACTGTAGCCTGAAGCAGGCGCACCTTAGTCCTCAAACTGACATCATTACTCCTCAGTAATTTGGAAGAGTCCTTAACTGCAGATTTTCTGAGTGCAGTGCATCTCCTTATTTTCTTACTGCTGATACCAAGGGTGTTAATTGTGGATCCAAGCAAGATGAAGCTTTTGCTAGTTTCCATCTCCTCTCCATCCATCGTGATGTTACCTATTGGTCCAGTAAGAATCTTTGTTTTTTCTTAATGTTGAAATGCAATCCATACTGAAAGCTGCATTTCTTGATCTGCAACAAGTACTTCAAGTCCTCCTCACTTTCAGAAAAAAATTGGTAATGTTAATTGGTGACTGGAATGCAAGAGTGGGAAGCAGTGAAGAAGGAATGTTGTTGTTGTTGTTATGTGCCGTTGAGTCGCTTGTTACCCTTGGTAACTCTGTACAACAGCCCTTATACCCTGCTCTATCCTGTGCCAATCTTATTATCTCTGACACACCTACTCCCATTACCCCAGTCACTGAATCAGTCCATCTCATCGAGGGTCTTCCTCTCTTACACTGTCCCTCCAACCTCCCAAGCACTGGCTTGATGATAGAAATGAGGCTGGAAGCATCTGGTGGATTTGAACCGCATAACCCTGGGATTGCAGTGCAGCTTCTTGCCACTAGGCCACCAGAGCTCACCTTGTAAATACCTTTTAAAAAGACACAAATTGATGACATAGTTCTCACCTTTTGGGCTGTTTAGGAATTAAATTGACTATATTTGTGGAAGAAATCATTGGAGAAGCTCAATATTGGCAGTCAAAACTAGGCTAGAGGTGGACTGTGGGTCAGATCATCAATTACTCATATGCAAGTTCAAATTAAAGCTGAAGAAAATTAAAATAAGTCCACGGGAACCAAGATACGATCTTGAATCTTATCTGAATTTCAAGATCATCATAGGAATAGTTTTGAAGCCTTGAACACCACTGATAGAAGACCAGATGAGTTGTGGGACAATATCAAGGATATCATCCATGAAGAAAGCAAAAGGTCTTTACAAACTCAGAGGAGAAAGAAAAGAATAGAAATGGATGTCAAAGAGACTCTATAGATCACACCTGGAGTGTTGAGAAGCCAAAACAAAAGGAAAACATGCTCAAGTTCAAGAGCTGAACAGATTTCAGAGGGCAGCTCTGAAGGACAAAGCAAAGTATTTTGGAATCTCAGTAATGTGTAAGTTGTCACTGATACACTGGGTCTATGGGCTTTTATAATGCATGCTATTCTGTCTTTGTTTACTGTCTTAAGGAAAAAAACAGAATAACGCAACTTCTCTCAATTTTGTCAGTTATTTAGCTTCACTTACTGTGTTACTTCTGTGCTTTCACCATTCTTGAAAAATGAACTTATAGTCTCTCTCTCATCTTCTTCACTTCTGTGTAGTCCTTATATTATGGTTTGGCTTCTTCAAATTCACCAAAAACTTCTCTCTCTAATGTTGCTGTTTTGAATTAAATTAAGTTCCCTCAAAATATATATTAACTTGGCTAGACTATGATTCTCAATATGTGATTGTTCTTCATTTTGTTATCTGATGTAAATATAAACCGCTCTCAAGTTTATGATGCAAGATTAATGACAGTTACGTTACTGAGGTGGAATAGAATCTGCAGGATTAGGTTATATTGTAAGTCAATCTCTTTTGAGATGTTGTTGTTGTTGTGTGCTGTCAAGTCGCATGCGACTCATAGCGACCCTATGTACAGCAGTCCTAAACTTTGCTCTGTCCTGTGCCAATCGCACTGTCTCTGCTACACCCATCCCGATTACCCTAGTCACTGAATCAGTCCACCTTGTAGCCCTCCCCTCTGCAGTGTCCCTCCACCCTCCTAAGAATGATGACCCTCTCCAAGGACTGGTCCCTCCTCACAACATGTCCAAAGTATGTCAGACGAAGCCTCAGGATCCTTCCAAGGAGCAGCCTGGTTTAATCCTCTCTAGGGTGAATCTGTTAGTTTTTTTAGCAGTCCATGGTACACTCAATACTCTTTTCCAGCACCACAACTCAAAGGCATCAATTCTCCTTCTATCCTTGCTAGTCATTGTCCCAACTTTCTGATGCATAAGACCATGGCCTGTATCAGACACACCTTAGTCTCCAGAGAGACACCATTGCTCTTTAGTACTTTGGAGAGGTCCTTAACAGCAGACTTTATCATTGCAGTATGTCTTAATGTCCTGACTGCTGGTGCCAAGAGTGTTGACTGTGGAGCCAAGCAGACGAAAACTGTTAACAGTCTCAGTCTCTTCACCATGCATCCTGATGCTGCCAATTGGCCCAGTAGTGACAATCTTTGTCTTCTTGACATTGAGCCTCACTCCATATTGAAGACTGCAGTCCTTGACCCTCTGCAGCAAGCGCTTCAGTTCCTCCTCAGTTTCAGCAAGCAGGGTTGTGTCATCTGCATAACGCAGATTATTGATAGATCTTCCACCAATGATGCCACGTTTCTCCTCATAGAACCCAGCCTCCCGGATAATCTGTTCTGCATACAGGTTGAAAAGGTATGGAGACAGGACACATCCCTGGTGTACGCCCTTCCCAATTTTGAACCATGCAGTGTTTCCTTGTTCTGTTCTGACAACTGCCTCTTGGTCCAAGTATGTTTCGCACTAGAACGATCAAGTGTTCTGGGATTCCCATTCT